AATCCAGCAGCCCGTCATTTAGGGGTGAATATTATCTTTGCAGCTTTTTCGGGCACCTGTGCTTGTGTTGCATTGGTGAATTGTTTGGCTGCAATGAGCTTTGCAAACGATCTTTGAACATTTGACATATTGTAGACCAGCAGTCTCAGAACCGGGGAGACGAGCTGGCAAGCCACCCAAGAGGCCCAACACTGAAAACCTGAAGACCAACCCATCGATGCTCGGAGGCGAAAGCAAACCAGCCGATGGATTGACCGACACTGCAAACGCGCCAGTGTCAAATCAGCCCATATCCCTTGTAATTAACAAGCATGCAAAGCCAGATTTTCAGCCAGGGCTCTGTCACAGCTTGCCTGTGCTCTGTTCCCAGTGCTAATTCTTCTTGGAAACCTCAGATGCTCAGGTGCATCAGCTTCAGCAAAACATGATTCAACCTAGCTTGTGGGCCAGCCATTGCCTCAAGCCCGGCAACTCCTAAAGCTGCAAGAAGCAAACACTGCAGCTAAAGGGCGCACAAGAAGAAACAGCGAGTAGTCGAAGGTCAAAGCGATGAGGCAAGATTCTGCCATGATTGGCACACCTGCCAGGCTGAGTTGCAATGACAATTCTGCAAGCATCATTTTAGCTGCACCATTAGTTACATTTGATGTGAGGTTGTTCGACCTTCATGGCTCAAGCCCTTGGTTTCGCAAGCGTGTTTGTTTCATGTCTGCGGCTTTGTTTGACCGACATGGCATGGCAAGCGGTCCCTGGACTGCTGATTGCGAAGTAATGTGTGTGTGTGTGTGTGTGGTGTGCCACCGTGAGCAATACACCACGGCTGACATGTTGTAGGCTCGTGGCCGGTGGGTGCAACCCAAATAAAGCCTGCTCAACACAAGTCTGCAAACAAAATGCTCAAAGTTCAAAGCCTCATGCATCACCCCTTCCACTTTCAACATGCAAACCTCACTCGAATTCTGCAAGAGTCCACTGGCTCGCTTGGCTAAGCCAAGCCGGCAAAACAATGTGTTCATGTGCAGAATGTTCAGCCAGGATGCTGGTGGACATTGTCGTCCCCCGATCGGCCATCCATGTCAGTATTGCGAAGCAAATCGTGTTGGCACACATCATGCAAAGCAAAGTTATCCTTAGATGTGCCAGTGCGCAATCCCGTACATGCGCAGCTCTCGATTCTAAGGTCCTGTTTGCCTGAAGTCAGTCTTACTTGCAACAAACTGTACAAACTGTTCTGCTACATTGAGTTGGCAATGGTCAGCAACTGCCAACTCACTCTGTAAAGTTTGGCCCAGAATCAGCATCAGCCGCCATGATCTCACCTGGCTCCAATTTGTTCCCTGTGCAGAGTCCATCTCTGTGCGGTTGCACGTGTCCAATGTGCTTACCAAGTGCTCAGCCCGTGAGGGAGCTGAAGATAGGCTGAAGGGACCACGTTATACCAAAGTGCTGACAAGCCACAACGCAGGCCAACACGATAAAGCCTCGGCTTTGGCAGCATACATCACATACATCACTTGCCGTGCAACAAATTCGCCACCGTTAAAGCCGTGCAACTCTTTGAGTTTAAGTCAACAGCGGGAGCAAAATTGGAAACTGCACTTAGGCTAGCAAATTGGAGCTACATTCCATAATCATGCCAAGTGGCACAACGGAATGCAAATGGGATTGCTCCTTGCTAAATCATGCGCGGCTGATCTTGAACCATCCACCTCAGGATTTGACAAGACCTCCCTATCTACCTCCAACTGCTGCCCCACTGCAGTTCAACATGAGGTCTGCGCCACAAAAGGCGCAATGCCAGCAACACCGATGTAGGCCAGCGGAGCCTGACCTCAAGGTGACGCCATGTCTCACAATCTGATAGGCATGAGTTCCGCCGTGCAACCTGCCGGAGAAGACTCCACGAAGCGCTGGCCTTAGGCACCGGTTTCTGTTCCTTGAGCCCTTGCCTGACTGGATGCATCTTAAACGAGGGATGCTGACCAAACTGCACAAACGTGGCGCGAAAGCTGAACTCAAGCATCAGGTGGGTGACGCACAAGCACGGGATGTCTGGACTTAAGAGCGACAGCTGCTTGGTTGCACGCATGTTATTCAGGCACGGGTTTGGCCGGAAAACGTGGGGCAGCATCAAAGCAGAAGGCATACGCTTTGATGACAAGAGGAAAAGTAGCTGGACATGCCGACGGCCAGAACTGTTCAAGCTAAGCATCCTCCAGATTCCCTCCAACATGACACAATAAAGCCCAACATTGCTGTTGCTGGTCAGCTGGGCTGAGTAAGAGCCAATCAGGCACAGGATTGAAAGCATGTTTGGTATAAGTACCACTGCACGCCAAGACAAGAAGCAAGACCACTAACCGTTGCTTTCCACGGAAACCAAAAGCGTCAACCCACAGCACCGCACCACACACATCAACTTGACACATCTTGAAATGCCAAGACCCCAAGCCATAAGACTAAGGACTGCAACTTCTTTTTGGAATGCCATGTCATGTAACAATGGTTGGAATCTCAATCACAAACATCCTCTGGAGTAACAGCTGCCTCACATAAACCCGCCGGGGAACGAAGCTCGGCGATCAGCGCATTTTCGGCTATGCCCACCTAAGCGCTACCCTGAAATCCCTTGCAAATCAGCACAGGGGAGGCAAAGAAGCATTGCAGCTTTGCGGGCCAAGCAAAGTGACCGGGTAGACGGGCTGCCTACTTGCGGGCGTGCCACTGTCTTGTTGATTGGCACACCAATTCGGCGAAGCACAAGCATGGAAGAGCGCCTCAGTAACCGGACATGCGGCAGCGTGCGTTGATGCCTCGACGCCCCCTGTCGAGCACAACGGGTTCGCCACTCTCTCTTCTTTGTGCCCAGGTCGCTTGTCACCAGACATCAGCTTGGAGGCAATGTTGGGAAGGCCCTCACGCGCAAAGCGTGGGCAGGCGTGTCAAGCTTGCTCATGCCTCGCTTTACTCGTCACAAACATGGAGCTCCGCCAAAAAATCAACCTCGCAACCCCAGCCACAAAGCAGATCAGGCTTTAACAAAAGGAATAGACGGCGGAAATTCGCCACCAACAACAATTGTTTCCAGAAGAGTTTACTTCTGCCGATGCTGTTCCTTGGCCCCCCGGGTCTGGCCCGGTCCTTCGCCTCCAACACAGGATAGCTGTCAACCTCCTGCCAGCAAGATGCGACTCACTCGCTGAAGAAATGATCATAGGGTCCTAAACGCCTAAATGTTTGACCCATCGAAACCGAAACCTTCTGCAATGCTGCGGGTCTCAAAGGGTGGCTAAGTTCTGTACTTGTTTGAACTGCAACGCTCTGCTCTCAATCAACATCGATGACTGCAGCCCAGAAGCAATGTCCATGAAGCCACGACTTCGGAGAAAGCCCCTTGGCGTTCCAAAAAGCTGCACATCTTCTATGGTAGCCGCGGCTGAGAAATGCGTATCAGTTTCAATGCTTTGGCAACCTTTGCTTGGCCAGAAATGTCGGTCTTGCCTTCATCCCTTCCTCGTGCAGTCGTGACAGCTGAAGCGCTCCAAGGCCGAGTTGCACAGTCAGGCTGGAAATCTCTCCTAATACCCCGGACGAAACCAGGTTTGGTGAGCCATAGTCCTCGAACGGAAAATCATCACCGGCAAACGTGCTGAATCATGCATGCCCAGCCTCGCGCTTCTGTTGTATCAGGATGATGTCACCTGAGGTCTCCCCAAATTCCAAAACACAAACTCCATATCACCCGTTGGCGGTACATTGGGAGACATCAATGCAAAATGGGATCAGCAAGACGGTATTTGACCCAACGACCACCCAACCTTTGCATGCAGCCAATTCGCACTCTGGTGGCTCATGCCCAAAGTATTCTCGCAAGTGTGCCCGTGCAATTGCCGATCGCGACCCTGCAACCTCGCTGTAGACCTCATTCGGCAGCCCACATGCGAATGTCAAAGACAAACCAATGGCTTCAGAACACACAAGTCTCAGTTGGGACAAGCACATATTTCAGTCTGGCCCTTAGTCAGTCTGAAGTGCAGACACGGAACGTTCTGTGTACACGAAAGGAACCGTGAGGCTGCCGGGAAGCCTCGACAAAGGCTTCCCTGCCCAGCAACATGTTGATACTCTTTCTGAGGCATAATTGAGCCCTCGTGTTCTCCTCAAACTCACGGTAGACTCCCAAGAATATGTCCAGTTGCCCAGAGGTGCTACCAGAAGTATCACTAGGCCCTATGCCTTGGGTCAGGTAATCAGTGACAGGTGGCACAGCGCACAGGCCACAATTGCCAGAAGAAGAAGCAGCTTCGGAGCGCTGGCGATTACACCCTAAGCTGTGCAGCGGCAATTCTGAATGTGCGATCAAGCCATCCTCCGAACTCCATGCAAGTTCCGGAGTACATCAACCTTCGAAGGGGGCCAATGCTATGCCTGGCAGTGCCATCCGTGCATGCAAGCAGCCACATAGCTTCTTGACAAACAATGGCATATTCTCGACATCGGATGGATTCAGCGCGTCAATTGATGGCAGTTCATTGATTCATCAATGCTCGCAAAGAATATCAAAGCTTGTGACATTGTGGGGGCCAAAGTGGCATCAATGGGGCAAAGGAACGGGTCTTCATTGCACTCCCTCGATGCGCGGAAGGGGTGTGGGGTAACCAGGTAGTTATGGCCATGATGTTCTCAATGTGCGGATATGTGCTGCTTTTGGTACAGTAAGTACAGTGAGTACAAGCTTGAGCCAGGCAGCAAAGCACATACTCCAGTGATTCAATGTTTGATGAGGTCATCAGCAGCTATCTGGTTTGCAATTGTGTTCACGTAAACTTCTGGGCAGCAAAGCAAAACAGCTATGAATGCTCAATCATTGTTGCCTCGGTGCCTCGGCCACGTTACTGAGTTGCATTACTAACGGGTAGCACAACAAACATGGAGGGTGCTCCTTCCAAGAAGGTCACAGCAGCAGCGTGTACACCAATCAAGTCCCCTCAGGCCCGTGCGGGGCACTTGATTGTGCGGGCTGTGGGCCCTTTGTGCCTGGAATCGATTCCCGAATGCTGTTGCCAAGCTGAAAAAAGTTGCAATTGAGTGATGCGGTTTCTGTGGGGCAGCCGCAGAAATCCACAGGAGTCTGGCCATTTCAACCACAAGGTGCTGAGGCCACAGCTGCGTTTGGGCGGATACCTTGGGGCAGCTTTGAATCGGCCTCTGCTCCAGTGCGCAAAGATCCGGCCTTCACATGAGCCAGCCTTGTGCTTCTGGCTGAGGGCGCTGCCCCGTGCCATCTTCTTCCTGGCCTTCCTTCATCACAGGAAGCCTCAATGGACTCAATGGATCTTGCATATCATCTTTACCAAGTCAGCCCGCCAAAAAGTGACGGTTGCACCACCTTACTGCTAGAGGAAGAAACAGGACTTCTGACAACGTTCCATGGGCGTGGTGCAATCCTTCAGACTTAGCGGGGCGTCTTGCAGCGCAACCCTTCACGGCTGTGCATTCCTTTAACCAACACATAGGCCTTGCTTGCCTCTTGTACACGTACAGTATTTGCTGCTCAGGCCACATCCACAGTGTGGTTCCACCACTGGCCAGAACATCGCCTATGACGCATTTTTCCTGGCAAGTTCCGAATTCTTGCTGCACTGCTGGGCAGTGCCAAGAAGCATTTCAGATGGAGCTTCGCTGAGGTCCACCCGTGAAGCACATACACGTTTATGTTTCCAAAGATTGAACCCATTTGCCAGTTTTGTAAAACCCAGCGAAGGGCCACGCAGGTGCACCTGCATAACTCGCACATAGTGGTAACCAGGGTGGCTCAAATTCTGAGCCGCCAGGCGTGGAGATGATGAGGCCTTTGTGATCATTCTGGGCCTGAACATGTGCACCTTCATTGCACCTACACCAAGGAAACGTAAAGCTGAATTGCACTGCCCATATATCATCCTCATGACTGGACCCAATCCTGCAGAGGTATATTTTTAGCGCTTCCCTTTTTCAAACTGAAACCGCTAATTGCTCAAGGGGAAGCCCCTGACAATTGAAATTCACCGCAGCGCAAAGGTTGCGAGCCCCGGGCAGTCTCGTGACCTTTCAGCCTCAGCGCTTGCAACCTATCCAGTTCCAATGCATCTGAAAAGTCGAAAAGCCACTCAGTTCTTAGCGAGTTTGCCATGGACCGGGGAGGCGCTGGCTTCTCAGGCTTCTCTACCTAGCAAGCAACTTAGATGAAACGGCATAATTACCAATTCATATGCGTTTATTCGAGTTTATTCGAATGGCACAATGTCACACTCGGACTCAGCAATTGTGCCCATACGCAATCATACGCACCCCTGAAGCCCACGGGCCGGACTGCCGGACCTGCATGATGCTTGGGGCAATCTCCGCGCTCTCTGAGTAGGCCTGTTGCGCCTGGAGATGCCGCATGCCGACGCATGCCGAGAGGCTGTGCTGTGAGACAGCCTTCACCAAGAGCCGGCTGTTGAGGATCAGGAGGTCTCGCCCTAGAACGGCATTTGACTCAAGCCCAGGCTTCCTGTCTTGATTCCATGTCTGCTAAACTCCTTCAGGCACTTCTTCAACCGCAGATGTGCCGTCGTCTCAAAGGAGATATTCGTAAGAACCCCTGATCAAGCACGAAGCAGCTCAACGCATCCAAAAACTAGGCAGCAAGGCTGTCGAAGTTGTGGCCACTGAATAGGACTTTCCCCGGCTGGTACCCGGAACCTCGGAAGCTCATAACCAGTTTGAAAGCCACCAACTCAATCATGCTCAACTCATAGCTCTGTCAATTTGCTTGGCACTTTCGCAACTGTGCTGGTTGTCCGCATGTTCGTCCCAAATGATTGAATAATTAATGCTGACAGTCCTGACTGAAGCAGAAGCAGGGGTTGGGTTGAGCAAGCAACGCGAACTACCAGTGCAGTCTGAGAAGTAAAGTTGCTCCCCCCCACCCGCCAGCAATCGTCAGCTGGCACGGGAAACAAGCTGCCTCCCCCCCCCAAAACAAAGAGCCTGCAACAAATAATTGTATTTCACCCCCCTCATCTTCCCCCGGCAAGAAAAGAATACTTTTACTGAAGTAGACTGACCCATGTCTATCGATGTCACTCCTGAGTTTGGCCTGGCCGGGGAAGCTGGACTTAGCCTCTGACGCATCAGGCCTCAGCACAACGAAGAATTCCGATGTAAAAAATACATAACATTCAAAGGCAGCAACCACTTGACCTGCCAGTCCGACCTGAGGCAACGACCCCGGCTTTTTAGGTCTGCGATGACTTCCTTGGTGAACAAATGCCGCCACTTTGACTCACCACCAGCTGCTACAAGGCACTGTCAGCACTAAGCCATCCATGCATCCCATGCAATGAGGACGCCAAGTAAATGCTCAGCCTACACCTCCCTCTTGCAATCAATGCCTTGCAGACACCATGCGGCGCGAGGACTTCAGAAATGCAAGCAAAGTTCCGTCATGTCTGAGAAGCGCATGTCCTGCACAAACAAACTTGCTCACATTGATGAAATCGATATTGCTCTGCCACTGCTTCTGCGGTGACGAACTGAATGGTTGCCTTTCCACTCCCCTGTCGCTCTCACGGCTTTTTGGCTTGCACGCCACTGAGCGGGCCTCGATCAGCTACCAGCACAGCGGACTAGGGAGCAGTCGCCACGTACCCAATTGGCTAAACGTGGTGAGCTCCACTGCAGGATGATTCTCCAAGACCGTCCTTAAAAACAGCGGTATGTCCGGGATTAAAGTCAGGGGAGGGGAGATTTGCGGCCTTGGAGATCGTCACCTGCCGGAAGAGATCGAATTGGTCACAAGAGATGCAAAAAGAGCGACCGCATACTTGGAAAAAGGGCTGGTCCGCACTTCCTTGGAACAGTTGAGCCTGTCAGCCTTGCATGTTTCTGTGAGTTGTCAGCAAGGGGCCATGGTGTACGAGTCGCATTAGATGAAAGTTTGTCAGGTGCAGGGGGGCACAGGGTACCCGAAGTGACAGGCTCACTGTTGTTAGGATCCAAGAGTGTGAAACTCCGCCCGGAGCTCTGTGCATGCCCGGAGCTTGCTCCGGTCCAAAGCTGCACGCCGCATCTAGCTCAGGCTGAGAAGCGGCCATGGACGAACAGGGTCTTGTTGGTTCGTGGGGTTGCGGCTTCTGCTTCCGTGTCGTCATGTGGAAGGCTGAACTTGGCAATGTCCAGGCCGAGGCGGCGGGGTGTGTTTGGCGCACTTGCCTCGCAGTCCGTCTGCTCGTCGTCATCTTGCATCTGAGACGGCTCACCATCCGGGCGACGGTAGGAAGATAGGTACATGGAGATGGCTCCCTCAAGGCCTCTCCGCGCCTGGCAGTAAGCTCCAATGCAGTCCTCCCCTGTCTGCATCAGCATGGTCTCGGCTGGTACAGGTTGCACTGCGCTCATCTTTGGCATTGGCACGTCATCACATGCCATTGGAAGAAGCATGCTCAAGTCAAAGTGGGCTGGCATTCCGTGCATGGATAGCTGGGACAGGTCCATGGGTGGCATGGCGCAGGGTGGCCCAAAGGCCTCCAAGCCTGGCGGACACTCGTGAATCACCACTGGCTGCACCGGCTGCGCCGGATTCACAGTGCTCACTGCCGGACTCACCACTTGAGCTGGGACAGGCACCGGAGTTTCCTGTACGGAACAAAGCATAGAGTAGGCCTCACTGATGTCCATGCGGATGCCCCGGTGGATCACAATGGGGCGGTACTGGCTGTTTCTGCTCTGAGAGACCGCCCTGTTCGAAAAGTGGCGGATATTCTCAATGAAACCCTGGATGTGTGCTAGAGACACTCGAGCAGCCTTCGGAGTGGAGCAATTTGGGAAGACGTAACTGGCGAAGTCGGCCATAAAGCGCTCCAAGTCCTCAGGACCGAATCGAACACACCAGGCCTTGTGCAAAGATAACCAATGGACTGTTGACGTTCATTGGGATATCCTTAGCTGGCAAAGGCTTCCCATTAGCACTTAGGTGTGTGTGGCACTCCCCCTTTCGGCCCCTCCCTTGGGAACTCCATGCGCTTGGCATGGGCCAACATCCGTTAAGCTCAAGCATTAGTGGTCGGAGTATGGGAAAACAGGCCTGAGTAACACGTGTTTGGCAACCGCGTTCCTCGGTGCTCAGAAAGTTTATGAAGGCATAGCCAACATTGGTACGGTTTTTGGTGTCCATGGGCAGGTAGAAGAAGTCGTAGGAACCCTTGAAGCCAGCAGCATCGATCTCTTTCAACAAGCCAGCTTGCGAGTAGCGGTTTGGAATGTTTCGAAGCATCACCGTGGTCTTGGGCCTGTCTCCTGGCTGGTTGTGCATGAGGTCGGCGTTCTTAGGGACGCTCACGGAGTGATACGGCTTGAATCCTCTCTCCGTGTTCGCCCCTCTCTTTCGACACTTCTTCTTGGAGTCCGAGTCATTGCTCGTCATCGTCATCATGATGCCCCCTGGGCGACGAAAATATTCGCGAGCTTTCGAGAAAACTCACGAATCTGGAGCCACAAGCAACATTCCACATATAGTGTGTCAACAGTCAAGCAGCCCTGAAGCAGCCATGGATAGCAACGACTATAGCAATGGCTCATCACTCGCGGTTAGCATCGGAGTTCATCTCTCACCTCAACTTGGCTCCTTCCGCTGGCGCTGCTTCTCCAGCTCTGAAGGTTTCATGGGCCTCGATGAATGCAAGATCAGGAATTCATCTTCCGGTGGCCTTCCGAGTGGCTTAGAGCTCCGTAAGAGGGACCCCTGCGCTTCTCAATAAGGGAGGGTCCCCAACCAAAAAATCAACTAACACCAGAAAAAACAAACACATTGTGAATGATACTCGCGGGCAAATTCTGCAGAACGCTGCCGCCCAGCAGGCCTTTAGATATCCTCACCTGCTTGTGGAGGCTCCATCTTAAGCCCGGCACTCGGCTTGATCCGGGCGTTCTCCGCTCATACAAAGCCAGCCTTGCAGTGTGCAGAAATGAGCCAGGCAAGCAGCTGAATTATGTTTGACTGAGGCTAAGGTGTTGGATATGCCTTTTTTGCTCATTGCATCTCATTCATGTGTGTCTGGGCACCTTAGCGTGTTGCTCCATCCCTCACATACATGCCATCAACTAATCACAGAAAACGTCCGGACCATCTTTGCAACAGCAAATGGTTGGCATGTTGCAAATCAGTCCACACAGGTCAAGGTGAGTCGAACCCCCTACCATACCCAAAAAATGTGGCACGGCGAGACGGAAGCGTCACACGCACAAAGACACTGCCCCAGAACAAACTTCAAGCAACGCCGCTTCAAGGCCAGCTTGTGGAATCATTAAAACAGTCTCTGTATCGAGACCATCGATTCACATCCAAATGTTGAATCCGGAAGGACCCAGCAAATGTTCGGCAAGCAAGTTAGCCAGCTTACATAGCCGGCGGCCACAGATCGAGGGACTCAACTACCCGCTGTTGCAGCTTGCCGCAGAACGCATTCTCACAGGGAACCATGTTGGACTCCTTTTCTGATGCTGTTCAGCAAGTCCGTTGCGATGAAGCAAGGTATGGCAACTTTGCATGCCGATGTCCAAAGTCAATTCGCACTTTCTATGGAACTTCATTTGGACATGACGTGCGGGCCACTCTATAAACCTCTCATGAACCCCTATGCCGCATTTCAAGATGACGTGGATAACTGAAAGGATGAAAACGAAAACAAACTACCCTCACGAGTTTCAGCGGCTTGGCGTTGTTTTTCTTGCTGAAGGTCAAGAAACGGCTTATGCGGCGGCGGCATCCATGGCGAGTGCTAGCGGGCAGCTGAGCTAGGCGAGCTTATGCGAACCTTCCCCGCCTGCTTACGCCAGCTTGCTCGCGCGAGCCCCTTTAGTTTTCCTAAACCAGCGTTTCAAAAGCCTTTGTGTGTCCTGGCAAAGGTATCAACAGCAGCTGGCGCGAGCCCCAAGAGCTTCCAAAGTCTCCGGGCAAGTTGCCAAGCTCGACTAGGTTGAGCTGAAGCAGCACACGCCACAAATAAATACATAAGCACATGTGTGTGACAATTCTTCTGGGCATGCGTGCTTGAGATTTGAGGCCAAAGGGGGCTGGGCGACAGCTAGGCCCCGCAGTTTCAACGCAACGCCGAAGTAACATCGATGTTGTCCCGCGGGGTGTGTCAGTGCGTGAGTCTCTTTGGAGCAGCAAATTTGGCAGAAAACCGTGACTAAACCGAAGCCAGGGTGCCAGATAAAACCAACAAATGGCTGTAGAATCGTTGGCATTTCACATATAGCAGAACTTTGCCAAGCCATAACGTGGGCGTGTCCTTGCTGAAACTGCACATATGGCCGGGAATCGCAGTGGCAAGTCGTGTTCTGACAAATACCAAGGGCGCCGAATGCGACAGAAACAGGGGCCGCAGAAACGTCGATATGTTCTTTGTGCCTGTCTGGGCATGCAAATTGGGACCAAGTCGTGAATAAGACCGGCGCTAGTCGCAAAATCGTACACATTCCCATCATGCGCCCCTGGAACTTCAACGGTGTGCCCGCATTGTTATCCCAAACAGTCCCGGACTTGCCCCCTGCTGTGATAAATCGATTCTTAGTCTTAGTATTTGCACCCCCCCCTTGCTGAAGAGAAACTCCAGCTAGCTGATGCTAGCTTTCGTGCAAAAGCTTACCAAGCAATGAAGAAGAAAAGCAGGTGCTTACGCAGCATGTTTCCCCCAAAAGTGCTTGCCCTGCAGGGTTTTGCTTACGCGGGGCCTTGTTATGACACAACTCTTGCTTGGGATGTAAAGGGTGGCTTTTTGAGCAGCTCACGTGGACATAGGATGTAGTGTCTCCTTCATCTGAGTTGCGGCTTCTTGACTGTTGGCACACATAACTCCACTAACAAGCAGGCATACAGCCATTTGTGCACCTGCACCTGTCCTTTCTTGTCATGCAATGCGGGAACAAAAGGGGTGGTGCCGCACGACCATTGGAGCATACAACTGCGTCGAAATGCACCCTGCGCACCGTCGATCTCCCCACCAATTTAGCAGGCTGACAAGCTTAACAGAAGAAGTTTGCAAAATCTCCTTCCCCGGCCAGGCTTGAGGCATGTGCGTTCGCGGCTTCTATCGGCGAAGTCTTGGATGGACAAAGCGCAGCCCTGAGGGCGCGGAGGGCAAGAGCTAAGAGTGAAGCGAAGGACACATCTTGAACTTGCAAAGAATAGCGAAACACTACAGCTTGGCACTTCAGAATCACAGGGCCCTGACTACCCGGCAGCCCTCCAGCAGCAAGCCCATTAGCCTCCCAGGAGGGGTTGCTGCTCAGTTTCCAGCCGCATCATGACTTCCGCACGTCCCAGCCTGGTAACGGTATCAACCTGGCTTCCTGCATAGCTGTTATCTAACATGAGTCCGCACAAATTCCAAAATGCAAATGGCAAGTCCGAACGAATCTGAGGTCCCGGCGGATCTGTGTCTGGGTGTCTTTCTCCGCTTTCATTTCGGTTCGGAACTCGCAGCAACAAGGCCCCGAATTGCCGGCATTTGCTAAAGTCATTGAATCATCGGACTGCATCCTGGGTTCGACTCCGTGCTCATGCCTTCCTGCTCTAATGTAGCCCGCCTGGTGGATGTCCGCTTCCATGAATGCGCGGTCTGTATTGCGCCACTTGTGCAAATCGTCTATCTCCTCCACAGCAGCGCAGTTCAATGTCTTCAAGCCTTCCTCTTTCAACTGGCTCGGGTTCGGCGTTGCCACAGCTTTCAGCCCGCCCTTCCCCATTGCATTGGGGCTGATCCACTTCCCCACTTTTTGCCTTGGGCTCCTCAGCGGATTTTCCTCCATATTCCTTCCCATGTCACGTATGCATCCTGGCGCCCCTTCCAACAGGTCCTTGGTAATCTCACAGTGGATGGTGTCAATGCGGCGCCTGCAAGGAAGCAAGTCATACCCCAGGTTACTCCCAGCTTGGGCAACACTGTCCATGTTGTCTTCAAGCGGGTTGCCACACCAATCTGTAATTGACTGGAGGTGACCCTGGCTCGGCAACAAGGGTCAAACACCAAACGTCTTTCTTGCCCTGGCCTTTCAATGGCGAGCTTGTCTTCCATCGTGTGCAGGGTTTGGCCCTCGGTTCCCAAGGATGCTGAGATCCTGGCCCAACTGGACGTCACTCTCCCCAAGGGAAGCCAGAACGAGCTTAAGTTCCACATTAGTTATAGCAGCTCCGCAGCTCCCTCCACTACGCAGCGGGCTCAAAATGCCAGCCACTGGTGGTGTTGGGAGCCACTGATTTCCAAGCTCTTGCCACGCCGTCTATTTTGGGTGATCCCACAGACTGCGGAACCCCGAGCACTCTCTGCACTCGACGCTCACTTTACTCAGGCCCTGGCCAGCTGCTCGAGGGTCTTCGTGATGCCCTGCGGTTTAAGCGCCATCCGTCACTTGCACAAGCAGCAGGTCAAGCCCAAAAGCCCGAAAGGCGCCTCTCGCATCTCTTGGATGTGTTCCATTTCCTTCGCATAGTCTCTGCGAATGTCCTGGCGCACGGCTGACACGACTGCCAAGAAGACATCCACCCGACACCTTCCCACAGCCAGCAGGGCCTTCATGATTTGAGAGTTGTGCGCGACCTGGACAAGTTGCTTGTAGGGCATCGGCAGTGGCGCAACAGGCCAGATTTCAAATCACTCGGGTCATGCAAACCGAACGACTTGATCGTGGATCATTGCTGGTCATAGATGTGTCAGCAGTGGTACTCGGTTCCCCTTCACACATCGACTAAGCAGGGAGCTAGGAAGTTGCACTCCTTCTTGAAGGTTGCTTTCATGTCCGCCACCGCCACGTCCTGAGTGGATTATATAGTGCTGCCAAGCTGTTGCCTGTGCCACAAGCAAGAACCACCATCCAACCACTCCAACACAAACCTTCCTGAAACTGTCCATGCCTGTGTTTGCACGTATTCCTGCCAGTCGTGCCTGTTCTGGACAAACTCCTGGCAACTTGGATGGGCATTCAGCCCCGTGCGGGTGCAACCAGCTCAAGTCTGGGCGAAAACGACGCTAGTTCAGCGTGCACAAGAAGAAAGTATCATCCTATTTTTCTTCTTCATCTTCTTCTTCTAAAACAAAGGTTGGCACTTCAACCCATCAACTGCTGGCAACATATGGCAACCTCTATTACGAGAAGCCGCCCCAGAATCATGACGGCTGTTGCGAAAAACCGCGAACACCAACACAACTCACAACTGGTCCTTCTCAAAGGCCTCCTGCCGCTTCGCCATGTTCTTCACAGCTGCGCAAGAAAGGGGAGCGGGCACAAACAGGGAATTGCAACCAGGCTGTAAACCTCCAAGCCAGCCTTCAAAAGTGCAGCGGAAACGTTGCAGCAACCGTGATGTAACATACTTGGCACAAAATAGATGTACTTTCACACGCTCTGCCTCGCTGGTTCTCGGCCATCTCCCTGATCAAGTCTGGTATGGGCGACACCTTAAAGCAGCAGCTTCGTTTCTAGCACTTGGACCGACGGAAGTCTTGCGGGTCACCATGGTCACCCAAAGATTATTCAACTCCTTTGGCAATATCATACTCCCGGCATGGAGGGGGTGCCACACATCGGATGTTAGAGCCCTTTCTCGGAATGCAGCAAAGTCTGTGAGCTTCTTCAAATCCTTGTTGAGCTGGCTGAGGCCTGGCGGCCATGCAGAGTGCCGACAATAGACTTTGCCCTATCGCAGGGCAAGTTGGCTTAGAATGGTTTGTGGGGGGGTTGAAGTGCCTTCCTGGAACTAAAGATGGTTTCGATTGCAACTATGTTTGTGTTTTACACACACACATATATATCTCCAGCATCGTATATATATATGTGTGTATTTGAAAAAAAAAGAAGGACACTTGTTTGCACAAGGTTGTTGGCTTTGACAGGCTGCCCCCTAACCCCGTGCTAGCCAAAGATGTATGTATCAAATATGTGTCCCCTACATGATTATATGCGTACAAGGGTATGCGTGTGTGCGCAAAAGGAATCATAGCCATACATCGATGGTAGCCAGGTTGATCCCAAAGCTGTCTAGGATTGATCAAGACTGGGGCAGCTGAAGCAAACTTGTGGAGTCTGCCAGATTGTACTTGGATATTGATCTTGAAACAAACAATCACATTTTGAGATGGGGTCAAAAAAACAATTTATCATTCCCAAATCGCTATCGCAAAAGCGCTTGGTGCACCTTTAGCAATCAACATTGACATGGCTCTTCGCAAATGGTCCGGGAAGACTTAGACAAAACATGATGGCCGTCAGGTTTGATGTTGCTGCGCACTTGACTCTGAACCGAGCTCAATGCGTTGCTTGGAGCAGCTTGTGAGTCGTGAGGTGAGCCGGCAGTGAGCCGGCGCGTGAAAATCAGTCAGTTGCCTGTGGCTTGCCACCTTTTCCCGGCATGTTTGTTTCACGGAAAGCTCGGCGCGCTTCTCTAAGCGGCCGTTGTGCAGACCAATAAGATCTGTTCAGACAAACGGTGTTTTCAACATTTGATGGATGGATGGGTGGATGGGTGGATGGGTGGATGGATGGATGGATGGACGGATGATTAGCTTCTTAGGCCGCACAGACGACTACAAGCACTCCCTACACAAGCGGGGCACAGGCTAGACAGCTGTGGGTCTTCAAAAACAGCAATGCACCTGGCCAGGAGTGATTGCACCACAGCCGTGAGTGCCCCATCAACAGCATAATTAGGCGAGGAAGGGGCAGCTCAAGTACCACAAGCAGGAACTAGGCTGGGGAAGAAGCCTGTTCTGAGAAATTCGCTTTGCAGAGCTGTCTTGATCTTGTATGTAGGGCAACGCTCTTGCTCAAATCTTTCTTTTAGCTGTTCAATGCTGCTCAAATGTCCCATCTGCCTTCCGGGGATCTCAGCATGCTTGGGCTGCATTCCCGTCGCTCCAATGCAGTCCGGCCAGCGCCTCTATCCTCGCCGAAGAGGTCCTCCAGCAGCTGTTCCCCTCAGACAGGCAAGGGAAACTTCCTGGTGAGGTGCTATTGGCATCTGCCTACATGCGTAGCTAGATTGAGAACAACATGTGGCGTTCTTTGCTGGAATCAGCTTCCGGCTCTGCTGGTTCATGACAAGGAGAGCCGCGTCACACTCCTGACGCGTGCGAGAAGGGGGCCACTCTGAACGGAAACGTAATGGCCTCACGAACTCGGATGATGCCTTGGCTTTGCGCGCTCAGCTGACCAAGCAATGCCACAAAGTCACAGACTCTTCTGTTGTCCTCATTGCTTTCGCTTCCGGAAAAAACCAATGCCAGCTGTTCAGAAGCAAACCTGCACAGTGTTCAGAGAAGACTTATTGAAGATGGAACCATTCCTCGACGGAAGACAGCTGCAAACACAGGTGCGAACCAAGCTACGCTTGTGACAGCCGTTCACCGCGTCGCGATTGTTGCTCACATCCTCCACAGAGCTGCGAAGTGAAGGATGTAGAGGGAATGAGCGGGAACAAAAAGCTCACTAAATCATTTGGTTATCAAGGAGCACATTTGTGCCAAACCTTTCTAGGCGCATCAAAAACAACGTTGGGACTTGTTGCTCATTAAAACGGATCTGAAAAGGGGTGCTCTTGGACTAGTTGGTTCATGTTGGGTCACACCCCCATTTTTCGAGAAAAAAAATCGAAGGACCCAGCCAGCAGTTTCGAGAGCTTCTTTGAGGATGTTCTACCTGGTGAGTTTCTTGTGTTGCGCTCCGGGGCAAACAGGTTGTTCAGGAAGCATGGACAAATTAAATACTGGCAACTAGTTTGGGCTCTGCGGGGGGGTGGGGGGGGATTTGTTTGGCCGTTTTTTCCCGTTCGCGCCAGTAACATGTCGTATTTTACAGCATTTTCTCGCGAAATTGGCATTTTACACTAGCCCGTCAACATCCCCAGCAGCGTTTTCAACATCCCCCGCATGTCCGACCAACATCCCTACTAGTAGCATCACCAACAAATCGTGGGCAACAAAATCAAAAAGTAGCTAGCGGGTTGACGGGGTCAAACAAATGATGATTTAAATAAGGAGGGCATTTCAGAAACTTAAACCAAAAAAAAGAACTCGAAAGTAGCGGGGGGGTTGGGGGGGAAGGCAGCCCCCCCATGATGTTCGCAGAAGTGATGATTCGAATAGGGGTGCAATTCAATCTCTGCAAAAAGTCTAAAAAGTAGGGGGGAGGCCTTCACATGATGTCGGAAGAAGTGAGGATTCAAGTAGGGGTGTAATGATTCAAGAAAGGGTGTGATAGAATTTAAAAGGCAGCGGAAGGGTTGGCGGGGGTGGCTTCCCCTATGATGTTTGAAGGAGTGCATACATACAGACATACATGGATTACACAGATTACCTAAAATATCGTACTTTGCAGCATTTTCTCGCGAAAGTGGACGCTCGAAAAAGTGATGATTCAAATAGAGGTGCAATTCAAACTCTGCAAGAAATCTAAAAAGTAGCGGGGGGGTTGGGGAGGGGGGGGGCCAGCCCCCCCATGATGTTTGAAGAAGTGTTGATTCAAATAGGGGCGCAATTGCTCTGCAAACAATCTAAACAGTAGCGGGTGGGTTGGGGGGGGGGGGCTTACAAGCCACGTAAACGCAAAAGCCAAAACGCAACCTGCCGAAGAGGAACTGGGAATGCAGAGGATGCGAAAAGCCAAAGCCAAAAAGCCAAAAGCCGCATAAACCAACAAAAAGCCGAAAAGCCCAGAAGCCGAGAAGCCAAAAAACCAAGAAGCCGAAAAGACAAGAAGCCAAAAAGCCGAGAAGCCAAAAGCGGAAAAAAAAATAAAAAAAGAAAAAAGAAAAACTAAAATAAATACCCCCAAATGAATTTGAGGTTGGATGAGGGTCGCCCTGGGAACCGATGCTCGAAACGAATATATGCATTCAAAACATTTGCGTGGGACCTGGCGCTTGCATCTCTTGGGACGGTGCATCCACCCGCAGCAAAGTCTTTAACGCCTCGCCTCGTCGTGCTGCTTCTGAAGCCTTGTAGCTTCATCCCAAATGCGCGTGTCCTCGCAAGCCGGGGAGATAGCTGAGTCGAGACGTGTGCACTCAAAGAATGCCATGCGGGCAGACTGTACGGCCGGTAGCATGATGCCAAACAAGCCTCTCACACAACAAAAATGGCTCGGACCCCGCGACCTAGGGTAATAAGTGCCTACGCAGGACACAGGGCCGTACTTACTACACAAGAGGTCCACCTGTTTTTTAAAACTCCTTGGTTCCGCAGCCAGTACACCTTTAATGGAGCACCATGGTCCTTTGTGCTACTGCGACGGGCTGGAGTAGAACCATATTTGGCCCCTTGCTTAAGACAGGCAACACATTGGCAACGCACGCAGTTAGGATTACACAGCCTGGCGAGGCCGGGTCAGTAACCTGTTCTGCTGGCTGGTGGCCCGGGCTTGCAAAGCCGCTGCCTGAAGTGACACCTTGCGATGTTAGCTAGCACTTGTTGGCAAATCCATTGGGGATTGTCATCAGGGTCCTCGCGCTCCAACCGCATGATGTCATTCTTGTACCCCTCAGCACTCCGGCTGACTGCGTTACTTTCAAGCGACACAAGAGCGCTTTGCTCCGCAATGCGGTCAGTTTTTCCTAAAGCCAACACGTTCGCAATTTGAAACTCAACGTTACAGACTTCTTACAGTCAAGCTTGCTAAGGCTCTCGCAGACAGGGTAGACTGCGACAGATCGAAGGCTGTCCTGACGAAGCGTTTTGTTAGCCCTTATCAAAGTTGCCTCGTCCTGGTGGAGAGGGATTCAGCGCTCGCTGCTGCCGCTGCTGCTGCTGCTGTTGCTGCATCAACTTCTTCGACTGTTGCAGTGGTAGTTGCTGCTTGCTGCTTGCTGCTCCGCTGCTGCTGGCTGCTGCGGATAAGCCTCTTGATCCATACCTTTTGGAAGGGCATATGAAATTGGAAGTAACACACACACACACACGCTAGCGGCCACGGGTCGCAACACAATCAAAAAAGAACACCTGAAAGCCGCAAGGCAACCGCAAATGTGAAAGAGGCGTGACTGCAAAGACAATTCTCAAACAAAAGGTACTTATGGATGATGGATATGTGACAATGTGTGTGTGTGTGCGGAACCGGCTCGTTGATCCAACACTATTTATGTTTTGAGCCGCAGCCACATGTCACATCTCCGCTTGTTTCCGTAGGAGGCACAAACCAGCAAAAGCACACTCCCTTCCGAATGCCCCAGTCGGAAGCACCATTCGAATGGTCCAATGAACTTTGCGTTCCTCCATGTCTTGGCGCACGCAAACAGCATGAATCATGACTGTTCGATTTGATCAAACAAATCCGCGAGCGATCATGACATCGGCGATGCGATGGTGAAATGTGGGCGTCCCCGAGAAAGAAAAACAAAGACCCTTTTCAAACATTGGTCCCCTGCTGCGCCCGGTCAATACATCAAGCATCCCCGAAGTTTTGCCAGAGCCGCGCTACATCGCGCTTCGGGTGAAGGCGCCAAGGCCCTGGCTGAAGCTGCACAAAGCGCTTGCTGCTGGTGGCTTCCATGTCACGGACCTAGGCGAGCTGATGATTCAAGTGGAAAGGCAGAACGGACTTTCTAGCAAAGGAACACAATTAACACTAAAAACACAGCTCAGTGTCATTTCCCGGGGCAATGTACAAACTATCGGACAACACAGCAAATTTTTCGCTTTGCCCCTTCTTTGCCAACACGTTTAATCATGAATCCACGAAGACAACAAACCGCAAATTGGCAAAGGGAAGGGATGAAGCTTGCATTTGCGGCTGCTACAGCTTTCGATGCATGCCCGACCAATTCCGCGTCGCATGCGGCACCTACCCTTCAAATCCCTCAAAACATCTGGCCTGGTCGGAGGTGGAAGTCACAGCTTCTTCCAACGCCTGCGCAAAAACAAATGGGCTCCGTGGCCCTCTGTTCCATTAGCTGACAAAGCTGCAGCCGGAGCCAGCGTGCCTTAACAAGGTGGCCGTTCTTGATGACGTCACTCTGCAGCTCGTCCACTTTGCCCTAAGGTCAAACTCTTTGGCCCCTCCCAGTCCCTCCGCCAACTTCTCAAATGCAAGCAGCTCAGCAGGCAAAGAAATTCGTCGGCCCTTCGGCCAAGGAAGGCTGAAGGTGAAATCCTTGTGACCAGGGGGCCCACGATGGACTTGCCATCCTCGTCCACTCGTCGCTTGAGGTCCTGTCAGTGTTGGCTCCCTCCCCAGCCCAATTTGCATTTCCATGTCAAGGATGCATTCGCATGCAACCATGCAGGGCATTGCATCATGAACAAAGTGTGATTGATGCAATGCATATTCTATCAAAGTCTGCCGCGATGTGCTGGCTCATGGCAGCTTGCAACAAGTACGAATGCAAACAAGTGTGATTGATACGGATCAAGGGATTGGAGGGAAATTGAGAATCAAACAGCCAACTGAGCTTGTGCAAACTGCTGCTGCTGGTCCCGGTGCAGCATGTCCAACTCTGACACTTGTGACAAAGTCGGTCGTAGCACTCGGAGGACCTGAGAGCAAACTCACCTTCCTCGTTGGAAATCCTCTAGGGCCTATGGACAAAACGTAAACATGGGCGTTCCTTTACAGCCTGAAATTTGCCCCTTGAGGCTGCAGCTTACTGCCTGCAAGCAAACTGGTCAAGTAGTTCATCTCACACGACTGGCAGCTCATGACCCTCTCGGCACCCCACCGATTCTCGCAGGCGGTTCTCCATTTCCGCCGCGATAACCTGCATGGCACTTTGAGCGCCACCGCTGTCACCATCGCAACCAACATCAACCAAACCATCACGACCAAGAAGAGTCATACTTATGGTACCTCACGCGCTACTCCAGCCGCAGCTGAACTCGCAGGCGCTTAACCAGCTTCTACAAGAAACTCGAGACACATCTCAAGCAACGGGCACCACTTCTGACCCTAGCATCCTCAAAAAGCAAGCTTATCACCAGTCGGGCCAGCGAAGCCCTTGGGCGGAAGTTCGAAAATACAAGAACTATAGATGTCCTTGTCTTTCTTTTCATCTTTACTTCTCGTTGTTTGTTTCTCTCTTCCTTTCTGCCCATCCAGCTGTGCATCTGTCTATCTACCATGTACCTACCCACCTATCTCTAAGTCTCTCCCTCTCTCTCTCCTGTCCAAACTCTGTCCGTCTTTTTTGCACTCCATCTGTCTGCAAACCAATCCAACCGGCATCTGGCTTGTCTTTGTCTATCTATCAATCCGTCCCTCTATCTCTCTACTACCTTCTCTGTCTCGTATATATTTCTATCTAACCAATCTATCTTTCCAATAATTTAACATATCTACCAATCGGTCGACGCATCGGTCAACCTACCTGTAGCTATGTATCCCTAACCCAATCTCCATCTATCTTTTTACTAACATACCTACATGCCTACCTCTCTGTATGAATCCATCTACCTATCGATCTTGCGACAGCGCTACGCCTGCCATGAAAGCTTGCTGCGCTTGAAAACACTGTGCCTGCCACGGACTCTGCGCATGACCAAGGGAAAGCGCGCCTGCCACGAAGTCTCTGCATGACTTCGCGCAAGCGCCATGTGTGCCACGAAGCCTGCTGGACCTTGCGAAAAAGTGCTGCGCCTGCAACGAAATCTGTACTTGACCTTCATCAAAACACCGCGTCTGCCGCGAAATCTGAATCTCGCGCCAAGCGCGCGTGTCCTTTCCAATGATCCCGGTTCCGGACGTGTTCCGAGCTCGGCGTCGCGATCAGGACAACTATCGACCGAAAAACCCGCAGATAGCTGCCCTTTTTAGACATGTGCCTTTCCCCGCCACACGCACATGTGTTTTCGCGTGTGCTTATTCTTCTCTTGTCATGTTTCAGAGAGTTAGCTTTCCCTTAGTTGCCGGGCTACCGAAGTTCCTTTTAAACTTCCTCTGGCAAAACGCAATTCATGGGAGGAGTGGCGGCAGCAGCGGCCAGCAAGCAGCAAGCAGCAAGCAGCAAGCAGCAAGCAGCAAGCAGCAAGCAGCAAGTAGGGGCGAGGATACTCAACAGGGAAAGAAACACAGCGAACCAGAAACCGGGACCCTTATTAACCCCAGTCCGGTAGGCGAGCGCAAACCCTGGTTTTGATCTGATGGGCATCCTTGAGCCAAATGGTCATTGCCATTCGACAAGTCCATGCAAAGCAAAGGGGCCTCCAACATCACCCATCATCACATACATGCACACCCTTCTGGGGTACCTCTTTGGGGGTCAAGGGGTCGTGATTATTCAACTCCCCCCTCCCCGTGCTCACTAAGAGACTTGTACTTTACAGTCGCGCTTGGGCTGCGACCTATGTGATGCAAGGTCCTTCACCAGACCATAAGGAGGGCTTACCTTTGATTTCTGCACTTTTGTTAATGCTTGGTCATCTCAGGCCGGACATCTTTTAACTTTTCGGGCAAATTGGTTCTGATGCCCAAAAGTTTGAGAGCGTGGTCCCACTTCAAGGGTTGCAGTGCTTTTGTGAAGATGTCTGCTGCCTGGAGATCGGTTGCTACGTACTTGATCACTACGCCCGTGCCGGGTTCAAGTTGCTCAGCAAGTGCGGACAAGTTCACTTTATGTGTGCGCTGTATATGCCGCATTTTTGGAGAGTAACCTTTCTTGGCAACGAGGATAGTGGCTTGGTTATCTTCGTGCAGCACCAGCTCGACTGGGCGTCCAAGCAAACGTTCCCATAAGGTCAAGGAGGGAAGGCCCTCTTGATACAAGGAAAATGTGAGCGAAACGACCTCAGCTTCGGTGGTGGACCTCGACACGGATGTCTGCCGTTTGCTGAGCCATGCTAAGGGGAAATGGGTGTTTGGTCCTTTGAGGACCAGGAAGCCACCGGATGTGGACTTCGCATCCCTTTCCCCAGCATAGTCGGCATCAGCGTACAATGCGAGGTGAAGATTTTGTGGGTCATCTTTTATGACCCCTACCAAGCGATAGTGGGTCGTCGAGTGGATGTACGCGATAAGACGGGCGAGTTGCCTATCATGGTTGCGAGACCACTTCTGAACGGCGGTTGCTAAGTCACCTATGGGCTTGATGATGTCAGGACGTGCTAGTCGTCCCAGCCATAAGGCCTTCATGAGGAGTTTGCACGCATTTGGGGCTAGCTCACCAGCTGACTGATCATCTTCAGGAGGAAGTGATCCGTCTGGACAGAACGGAGTAGTTACCTTCCGGAGCTTCTCGGGCTGAGTGCCGGTTATAGAACAAAACAGTTCTACGGTTTGACGGGCATAGTCATTCATGTCAAATGCAACGGCACCCTTCAATGCGCTTACAGCTGCATTCAGATCATGCTCTTGAGGCTCTGCGGGGCCATCTATAAAGACATGATTACGCCCGAGCACCCGAAAGATCGGCTCGGGAGGCTCTACATTTATCATTTTTGTAAGCTTAGCCCAAAAGGCTTCATGTGCATCTGCGGGACCTGAGAGGGTTAAGTCATCGACGTAAGTCGAGAGCATAAGGCCTACCCCTTTAAAGAAAAAGTTTCCAGGAAACTCTGGGATTTCTTCTCCTCCCAGCTGCTTGAGCAGTTTCTTAAGGTGTGCCTCCCACAGACCTCCTGCGTCAGGGTGACCATATAGGGCACGAATCAACAAGACCACGGGTTTCACGAACTTGGAACCCCATTCCTTTGGCCGCAGCTCAGGCGGGAGCTCGATCCACGTCTGAAACTGTGAGCTAAGGAACGCCTGGACATAGGCTTTTACCGCGTCAGCGGTGGTGACCGTGTGTCCTGGGATGCACCCATACGCCAGGCAGGCGTTTAGGCCCTGTACCGAGGTGGGGTTTGCCCCCAGTTCTTGGTACACCGCGGGTGCACCGGCTTCATCTTTTGCACAGTCTCCCCTGAACACGATGCGCCCCTTTACCTTTTGGAGGTGCTTCGCAAGTTCATAGAACTTGATGCTGGCGATCGTCATGAGCTGACCAAAGTGCACCTTGATCCCAGACTGTCGCGCTTGAGCTGCGACCTCAGCCTTCTCCCGGACAGTTGAACTATCCCATACTCCGACGTCTTGGAGTCCGGTCGCCTCCTGCTTGATCGCTTCCAATGCTTCAGGAGATGCAAGCATCTCAGCACGGGACAGGAGTTTAGTGACCATTGCATGCGCTTCTGTTTCGACAGCCTTGGAGGGCATGTCGACAGCAGAAGCAAGTAGACTTTGGACATCAAGGAGTTCCTCAACAATACCCTTTACTTTAGAGTCTGATTCAACGAGGAGGGTGAAGTCATCTGCTCCGGAAAGCGGAGATTCGTGCTTTAGGGACTGTTCCTTAACACGATGCTCCGTCTGCTGAGTGACTGGAACTACAGGCATTGCTTGAACCGGAGTCCTTCAAACTTTGGGATATAATGCTTTGGCGATCAAACCACACATTTGCTCAGGGTAGAATGCAGTGCGGGAGGTTCGGCTCCCTGCCGCCGGAGTATGTTTTTCGGACTTTGTGCGCGGACACTGGCGATCAGCGAATGCTTCGGCAAGGGCCTTTGATGTAGTTTTGATATGCCAAGGCTTCTTGATGGGTGAACCATTTTCATCCGTCAAGCCGACAGCACAGCCGTGGAACGAAACACCGTGGAACACGTCCTTGTGGCGTTCGAAGAACTCGGCTACATCTGGCCTTTGCCATCCCTCGCAGTCGCGTGGCCACTCGAAGGTGACTGATCCGCCGGCCTTCAAAACATGCTCGGCGTGCAATGCAAACTTTGAAAACATCACTTTGGATTGCTTGACTTTTTCCTCTAACTTCTTCTTAAACGGCTTTCCTAACCTGTGGAGGTTCAGCCTCTGCCAAGGTGATCCTGAGACACATGGGATGGCTGCCCACAAGTTGGGTCGGACGCACTGCGAGAGTTGATAAGCGAGCTGCTCATCCGCAACGGCTGACTCTAAGTCAATGTACTCCTTTGCTAATCGGACATGTGGGATGTCGAGATCCTTGAACACATTACCCATTGAGGAATTAGGTGAACAAGCAAATTCAAACATCGGACCAACAGCATCGCGCGCTAGGCGCTTGCGAGCACGTTTGTTGCCAACGGTAAACGGAGGGCGTTCATCGCCCCCCTGAAGCTGACAAGGGTTACCGAAAACGGATGGCTTCTCTTTCGTGGTCTCAGCAAGTGTTGTGCTGGATGCGGTTGACACGGTGACGGCTGCTCCTGAGCTGACTGGAATGTTACCCTCGTGAGGACTGAGCCCCCCTGCTGCGCTTAAAGCTGCAGCCGAATGCTCGGAATCACTATATAACCTAAAAATGGTTATGCCAGTCCAGAACACAGGGAGTTCTCGATGTGCTGAGAATCTGCCTGCCCAACCATCACTGATATCTTCCTTGCTACCATCTTGCCGGGACACAACGCGAGTGGTCCTACCGGGTGTGATTCTGCACACTGACACGGGACAATCGCCGACATCCTTGGGAGTGAAAAGTTTACTCCTAGGCTGATGATGCACGCGGATTAACACGTTACCACTAGGCTTATAAACCCATTCATCCTTCTTGGTTGATGCGGGGACAGCGTCGGTATGCGGAACACTGGGCCGAGAAGAGGCGGGCTCTCCAAGCAAGGCACGGACGATATCGGGGTCTCCACCCTCAGGCGCCTCGATCTCTGGGGCTTCTGGGGGTTCTAGGGAGGACGCCTTTGCAGCGCGTATAGCAGCGGCCTCATCTGCACCCTTACTTGGTTTTGTGGCCTCCTC